GGGCAGAGAGGACTTGCAAGGCTCTGCCCAACGAAGCTCTTTGCAAGATCCTAGGAAGCGGAAGCTAATCACTTGTACCTGCAGCCGGAACGGTTGACCAAGCTGTGACTCCGCTTTCCACGTTTTGATTCATGGTCCTTTCATGATTCTTCCCCCAAACCAGTTTCCCCCCACCACTTTCAGCCACTGAGCCGCTGTGAGCTGCCGTCGTGAGTTCTGCAGATGCGCATAAACCACTTGTTAAAACATCTACAACTTTTCGGACTTTTCACCTTGCCGTTGCCTCACCTTCTTTCCACGTGGGAATTGCATAAGTGAAAACCAATGTCAGAGTGTGTGTGTGTGTTCCGTTGGTGCAGGAATTGTTGGGTGGTGCTCCAACTAAAACTGAAAAAGAACAATTCACCGGAAGTGGAGCTGAAAGCAAATTCCAACAAATTGCCCTTACTGCTTCACTGTAATTTGATCTTTGGACTTCTGTGCATATGGAGGACAAGAGGGAAGCACACATCAGCCTGAGCACTGATAGTGAAGTAGGCTAGTGGGTGCTCCAGAAAACTGCCCGCGTCCGGCCATGTCTTGTGTCATACATCACACAGTCGCCCAAAAAAGAACACTGCTAGGCTTACCTGTAGCTTGGCGTTTCATTTTTTGCCACGACGTTGAGAAAGCCAGGTCTTTCATTTTTGGCATGCAGGCGAAATTGTTCCGCGAGCTCATCCTCAGGCCCCGTCCCTATTTCTTGGTTTTGCTTGCGGCATCAATATTTTTAACTACGTGTCCCAAGGCCTTTCCCATTGACCATGTGTGGACCGGCATTGCTCCCACGGCGGTGCAGCACGGTGGCCGCCAGGCGCGCCGCTTTTGATTTCTTGTTAACGTTATATTTGGCCTTCCTGCACGCAAGGTGGTTCAATGGCTGCAGGCAGACAGTGGGCTCGCAGCGGTGGCAGCGGCCCGCCTTTGTGGCGCAGAGCGCCGGCTGGGGCGAGAGCTCGGCAGCGACCTCTTCTCGATCAAGCGGGAGAACGCTTTTGCGACCTCACCTACTGACTCAGCCTCGCCTGAAGGCAGCGTTTGCAATGGACTTGCAACACCACCTGGGGGGGCGCATGATATCCTGGTTCGGGTGGCCTAGTGAAGAGAGGGCTACTTGCTCAGGCATCCACAATCTAGAGCCTAGAGAGAAACAATGTTGAAACGTTGACTGTTTTGACACAGACTGGCTTGAGCAGAGAGAGTGAAGCAAACTGCCCAGTTGATATGTTCCTGTTCTGCTTTGGGAGCTCGCGCATCGAGGCCTGCAGGATTTAGCTGTTCAAAACGCAGACGTGTCAGGTCGGTCAGGTTCCACGTGGTTCACCAGGATGGCCTAATGTGCCCAACGCGGTCATCAGAAACTTCCCTTCAATGTTGTTTGATAGGAACTCGAGATTTACCGATTACCTTTCTCGCAAGCAACTTAATTACGCCAACCACTCAATTTCAGTACTTCTCGTGTGACGTCTTAGATCTGTTTCCATGTTCAGATATGTTTTTGTTGGTGTCATACCGACGGCGTGTATTGAAACTAGCATATCCACGGCCAAGGTCGAAAAATCAACACTTTAGTTTGACAAATTTTATTGGTGAATGAGTTTGAGGAAACGAAACCTAATTGAGCTAAATGACCAAAACTGTGCACACATTTTTGGGGGAGGGATCTGAAGGAAACAACATCTGATGACTAAAGCTGAGGACAAAAAGCGTTTGGTGAAGGAATTGAAGGAAACAAAATCTCATGACTCCAACCATGGACAACTGGACAACATTTTTAGTGAAGGAAGCTGAGGAAACAAAATCTGATTACTAAAGCTGTGGAGAGTGGATCTGGTGGGACAATCAGGCTGAACAAACAATACTCGATATGAGTGCAGGCGGCCAAGCAAAGACACATTCTGGCGTAGGCCATCGATAGCCTAGATGCTGACCTTCGCGCGCCAGCGCGGCAGGGTAACCCGGCAAGCACCGGCGCGCCGGGATCAGAAGGCGCCACCTGTGACCAGGCGAAATGATTAGAGGCCGCGGCGACAAGATGAATCATTGCTCGGTCTTAGCTAGTAGCCGTCATTTACGTTCGCCTTCTTGTCCCGGCGCGCCGGTGCCAGACTACTCTCGTGTGACAGCAGGCGGCTAAAGTTTGAGGTCTGGTGCCGGCGCGCTGGGACAAGAAGGTGAGCATATATGTTGGCGTTGTCTGTGTAAGACGGCTACTATAGCTACCAAGCAACTGTTATTTTTTCACCGTGGCCTCTAAGTCAAACATAATCCTTTCGCTCGGTCGCGGGTGTGCCACTCGCGACCAGGCGAAAAGAATTGCCGTGATAGGTGGTCACCGTGGTCACCTTCTTGTCCCGGCGCGCCGGGGCTAGCCTCAAAACATAGCCTCCCGCTGCCACTATAGTAACCTGACAAATTATACAATACTGTATACGTTTAAAACATACATCGCGCACCTGCTGATCCCGGCACGCCGGTGCCGCTGAATAGAGTAAAGGCTGCGCTGAATTGCTCGGTCTTAGGTAGTCGCCGTCAATCACAAACGACGCCAACATATACGCTCACCTGCTGATCCCGGCGCGCCGGTGCCGGGGAATAGAGTAAAGGCGGTACTGAAAAGAAGAAGAATTGCTCGGTCTTAGGTAGTCGCCGTCAAAGACAAACAACGCCGCATATACGCTCACCTTCTGATCCCGGCGCGCTGGTGCCACCCGCGACCAGGCGAAAAGTATTGCCGTTAAAGGAAATCTTTGGGAAGAATACTCTGGTGGTCAAGAAAGAGCTGAAGGCGGCGCCCTGGTCTTTGACGCAGGGACCGGGTCCCAAGTTGTTGGTTCAGCGGATGTGATTGCGAAAGAACCCATTTGTTGCAGTGATCAACTTCCTTACCCCACTGTTCGGGAGTGCGCGGTGAAGACCAACAAGTCAGTGCCTAGTGGGGACCGAAAGTGATTCATGTGAGAACAAAAAAGTTTCAAGTACCATCTGGTGACCGAAGTTTGTCTGAAAATTTTGAGCTTCCTATCCGGACCCAGGTGCTCAATGCCTTGGTGAAAGCTCATGTGACAAGGAGTCAAGGCGAGAGGGGGCCCTACTGCGCGTTCTCAAGGAACGACAACAAACCATATAGGTTTGGGAAGTGCAACTGTGGGAACTTAAGGAAGCCTTTGAAATTGAGTTGCACTCTGGAGCAGCCTGCCTGGCCACAGACTGCGACACAATTTCAGAAATTGTGTCGCGCAGCTGTCCAAATTTGGTCAACGATGCATACCTCCCGGCTCGGGCCGACAAAATATTCCACCCACGCGGCTTGTCATCATCAAACATCAAAATGAATCCGCGACACAATTTCTGAAATTGTGTCGCAGCCTGTGGCCAGGCAGGCTGCGCCAGAATGCGGCACAATTTCAGAGGGGTCCTGGCTTGTCCCCACTGCTACACTTCAACGGTTACACTTCGAGCGTAATGCGCACGGCTGCCAGGCAGGCAGCCTGCGGACCGTGGCGCAAATTGCTTCAGCAAAGCGAAGAGGCCGGGTGAAGCGAAAGCTCTCGCAACTTGAGGAACTTCAAGAAGAGGTTGTGAGCGTTGCAATACCTGCAGACAACGTATGGTTAAATTTGACCAACTTTTGAGCAAGTTATTGAGCAGTGAGCCGTTCTTGGTTTGGCCAAGCATCAGTCAGGAAAAACGCAGACCAGTTTTTGTTTGGACGTGCTTTGTCTCTAGCTTTGTGGATCAGAAGTAAGTCAGTTTGCAGTTTGGGGCGAAGAAGCCGCTGTCTCTGCCCAGATTTTTGGCTGCAAGGTTGGGCATGCAGATTTGATGGCTGGATATGAGTTGAGTTGGCATCCACTCTGCTGCAAGCCGTGGTCAGCAACGAGAAGGAGGGCCAGGCCAGGCGACTTCCTTTAATGACTTTTTTGCATCCTTGCATGCCTTTGTGTTTGTCACTGTGCCCTATGTCGCGGTGGTCTGCACTTGCATTGAACCAGCATGCCTGCTTCAACTTGCCAGATTTACCACGGCCTTGCTGACGAGCAGCCTGACAGCGGTGATCATCCTGAGACACGCCGGCTCTCTCCAGGCACCACACGTTTTTGCTTTGTAAAGCCTTCTCACCATGGTTTTGCTGCGCTAGGTGGCATACACCCGGCTGCCGCTCATCATGGGGTGACAAAGACGGTGCCGATCCCCTTGAAGGCCATCCTGTCGGAGGTGCCAGACAGGGTCAATGGCGTCGCCAACGTCACGGACGGCGAGGCTGGCGCTTGTTCCAAACCAGAGGATTTCCCCTGCGCAAGGTTGGTGTTTCAACACCTTTTGAAAACGTTTGATATTTTTTGATGTTCGGGGACGGGCTGGGAGAGATTCGGTATACCCCTGAGGGTCCGATATTGAAAAAATCAATATCGCAAACATTTTTCAATAATATTGAACTTGATTGTTTTCAATCGTAGGATTGATTTTTTCAATAATGAAGATTGAAAAAATAATCACTATTTCTGATCAATATCGACCAATATCACGATCAATATCAAGACCAATATCAATGTCAAAAGGAACTCCACAGGATTCTAAACTCCACAGGAACTCCACAGGATCTCCACAGGAACTCCACAGGATCTCGACAGGATGGTGAAGTCCACAGGAACTCCACAGGATCTCCACGATCAATATTGACCAATATCATGATCAATATCACGATCAATATCATGATCAATTTTTGAAACCAATATTGACCAATATCGACCAATATCATGACCATTATTATATTGATCACGATATTGATGTTTTTGGCTTCCAAGTAGACCATTTTCAATATTATTGAAAAAGATTTGGGACCAATCGTAAGATTGATTTTTTCCAATATCGGATCCTCAGGGTATAATCTCAAATGTTGAAATCGTGGCGACGTTCAATTTTTGAAGCGTTTACTTGGGGGGTTGAACCGTTTACAACATGGCAAAGTGACATGTCTGATTGCGTTTACATGCGGGAACATTGTTTTGGATACATGGGAACTGTGTTGGGGAGAACTCACCAAAAACATTCACAAGTCATCGCGTTTACATTGGGGAACAACAGTTTTGCAAGGACTATGCCGGGACCCCCCTCTTGGCGTCGCGTTTACATTAGGGAACACAATTTGGTTCCTAGTATGCCGCGACTTCTGCGGCTGAGTGTATATGACGGTGATCAGCGATGGCTGGGGTGTTTTGTCACACGGCTGCAGTATGATTTTGGCCACTTCGCATCTGCCAATGATAAAATCTGGCTGCGTTGGACATTTCGTCCCAGTGTCCCGGCGAGCCAGAAGAACAGACGCGAATAGCATGAAATCCGAAAGACCACGTCAGTGCTTTGACGAATTCCGGGTCAGACGCGAATAACATGTGAGAACTCCAGAATCCATGCCAGAACAAGACGTGAACGCCGAATCCATTCACAGTGGACATGAGGTATCTCACGGTCACGCGTGCAGAGAGGTCGATCGTTTGAGGTTGCCTGCAATGGTTGATCATTCTAGCAGCCTGGCGCTTCCAGGCTGGTTGGTGAAAGAGTCCTATGTGATATTACTCATGCTATCACAAGATATCGCCGATTGCTTAGATTCGGTCCTGGCCTTTGCATGTAGTTCTGGCTCAAACTGAGCTTGGAAACCATCCTAAACATATTAGGGCAAGGAGGATATTCGCAAGTACAATCCAGCACAATAATATATTGAAGGTGCAGTGCTGTTCGTCAAGGGACCAATCCGTGGTTCAACCCCCAATCCGCGCCCCATGCACCCTCTTCCTCGAGTGTTAGCAACGGTGGTGGGCGGTAAGTTGGGTTTTAGGTCACGAGTTTGGCCCGTGAGAAGCGGATGGAAAGGGAGAGATGCTGCTGTATGACAATAAAGGCTGCTTTGGCTTTCAATTTCGAGGGTCGAGGGCCAAGGGAGTTCTTGCCTTAGAGCGATTGAACATGCTGTATGTAATTGATCTAGGTTTGACGTATTCAATTCAATCGCTGAAACTAGGGTAACTTTTGAAGGTTGGTGGGGGAAAACAAATTTGTAGGAATTACTCCTTTAGCTAAATGTAATGTTTACGTTCTTGGCAGCTCCTTCAACACTACATACTGCAATATCGTCGTTAGCCTAGCTCGGCCAGCCTAGCCGTGCGCAGCTTGCCCTGGAGTGCCAGCCGAGGTTTCTTTTGGTTGCTTTTGAATCGCCGGGGCAGCGTGTTCTACCGATGGGACTCGCTCCTGGGAGGGCTTTGTGTGGCGCTCCTGGGCGGTGCCGTGCAATATATGCACAGTAGACGCTTGGGCCACATGGAGGGACTTGAAACGGGAGACAGTAAAAATATGTATATAAGAATCTATAGAGACTTCTCTCTTAAACACTCACCTTGTGCACGTTTCGTCCAAGGTGAGAGCATGTAGCAACTAGATGAAACTGGCACCTTGAACACACCAAAACTAGAAGAAAAAATGAACTTTGGGATATTTGGGGTCAGGAGATGTCAACAGCCTTTTGGAACTCTGACCCCCAAGATTCCCAAGATGTGAATTTTTCACAGTTAGCCTTAGCATCATCTCATCTCTCGAAGTGGTCCACCAGACAATTCGACTGGGCAGACCACGAGGCGGGTTGGTCGCTTCCCCCAGGTGGCTGGGAGAACAAACCGGAGATTGGGCACCACTATGGACTCTCAGCTGCGTTACGAATCCCAGTCCGACGGTCGGACTCGCGGTGAGTTCGGCGTGAGCTCGGCTGGAAAACAGCGGAAGGTGCCGTTGCTTCGATCGGGGCAGGTACAGTGGGCTTTTCGAAACGGCGATTCGCTGTGCCAATGCATGATGCGAACAAGGGATTCAAGGTGAAGAAATGGGAAATGTTCAATGATATACTCACTATACTCACTATAGCAAGGGTAATAAGGAGTTTCCAAGGTCTTCGCTGAATTGTTGGCACCAGTGTATCTCAATCATGATCGGAAGCCGGACGTAAGGCCCTCCTGTATAGGTGTCCAATGGCCTTTGTCAAACTGGGTAGAGCCTCCAGTGACTACATGTACTCCACAAGTACTAGGTAAAATGGGTACATGTCCTTCTTGAATAGGGTCATGTCCCAAGTTGAAGTTGGGTCCAGGTATTCATGACCTGTCCCACTCAACACCCAACGTCAAACGAACGAACGTTGTGGGGTGATGTGGGGTACCACAGACCCGTGCGGTGCGGTGGTCAAGGACAGCGCCATGTATAACATATTTACATTGACCCCGGGTCAATCATCCCGGATGAGAGAGATGGAGTTCTTTGTAATAGGTTTCCTCAGGGCATATCCTGAGATACTTTTAGGGGGCCCAATCATCCATCCATTTGGACCATTTGTTGTCCGGTCTCCACTCATTTAGCGGCTGAGAATCCATTCAGACCGCATCGGATTCAGATCGCCTTCTCCCCCCATTCCCATGACCAACCTCCCAACCGAGTCCCACCGTCGCCACCGAACGGGCCGAACGGTCGAAGGGTTGGCGCCGTTGGCCGTCGACGGTCCCGGCGGCCCGAGGGTTGCAAGCGCTGGGTGTGGCCGTGACCTTTGCGATCGTCTTTCGCACCCAATTGGCCTGGAACAGGCGCCGTGGCTTTTTTGTGGGGGGGAAGACATGCGAAGAACGACGGTGTTTTCCAGAGCACCCAATCGAGGGCGGTTGGGAGTCGGCGATCGATGGGAAGTTTCTTCTCTCCATGCTGGGTGCCCAGAAGAGAAGCCGGAGTCTTGTACAAGTTGTTCGGCGAAAGCCGCCCCAACCGCTAGTTGAGCTGCATGCTTTTGTGATCATTCTCACCATTTTGTCTCCAAGTGCTCCAGTCCGACCAAACACCATTTGCTAGCTCCCATCACTCGCAGATGTCGTGCAGGTACTGGGAAGCCGTGACCCAGCTTCATGTAATGTACAGCAAGTGGCACGACGCCTTCTCCCAGTTTCAAGGCTTTGCCGAGGTCACCTTAAAGGTGCGATTCGATCGGTGCGGGCAGGGCGGGAGGGCACCACCCACTAAGAGTCAGTGACTTTGGAAGTGGAACACCCACTGTTTGTAGATCAAAAGGGTCGTTCACGTTCATGATCTTCCAGGTTAGGTCAGGTGACCTGGTGCGTTAGTAGGTCAGGTTCTTTCCATGGGAGGGTGACCTGGTTGGTGCAAAGAGGGTGCAGCCTGGATCCATTTGGATACAGCAGATAGACAGACTTTGGGTGGATCCTCACAAAGAATCGTGCCCTTCTCAGGCCGCCAAGGAGAAGAAGGACGAGGCCAAGATCAAGCTCATCATGATGAAGCAAAGGACCTGGGAGATGCCCTTGCTCGGTTTTCAGGTTGACCAGAGCTTCGTCAACAGCCTTGGCAGGTTTTGCCCATTGCAGTTTGTGGTTTCGACAGACCAAGGTTGCTAGGCTAGGGCAGCTGAATAGCGGACTCACCAGTCGAAAAAAGTATCCAAAGTTCGCTTTCACCAGTCGGAAGGGTTTGAGGACCCACGTTCATTCACACCTCTTGCAACAACATAGGTGCGTGACATTTGGTCTTCGTCTTCGTGGAAGAAGCATACATATGTTGACTTTGCACAGGAGCTCCATTCGTGTCTCGCAGGGACCATCGTTGCCTCAAGCGGTGAAAAGGATGCGCCCGGTTGTCTTGGATAGGATTCCTTGCTACCTCTGTTGAATCAACATTGGTAGCGGAGCCTCGGTCACAGGACCGGGGCTCCACGTAGGATCGTGAGCTTTTTCGCACAGGAGCGCCATGGCTGGTGCATCATCCTCCTCGGATGGGGGATACCGAATTTTCGATGGTGAACAGGAAGACGCCAGGGAGTCTAAACGCTGGAAGGTCTGGGTGACCAATAAGCTTCTGACGATGGCTGACAAGGTTCCGTCGAAAGCCCGAGGTGCCTACATATACACCCTACTGCAAGGCAAAGCATTGGAATGTGTTGAGCACCTGGATCCATCTGACTATCAAAAGGATGGAGGAGACCTTGTGTTGTTCAATTTGTTGGATGCTCGCTTCCCGGCCAAGGAAGCGTCGGATGAGATGAGCGAGATCATGACCGCCGTCTTCAACCTGCGAGCTGCTGAAGGGGAGACCTTGAAGACTTGGGTCTCGAGGGCATCGGAGCTCTTCCACCGATGCCAAAGGAAGACGAATGTCTCCTTCCCGGAGGAGGCCAGAGGCTGGATCATACTCCATAGATCGGGGTTGAATGATGAGCAGAAGGCTGTCTGCCTAGCCCGGTCGCTTGGAGTGTTGAAGCGTGAGGAGATCGCCAAGGCCATGAGATCGTGCTATCCCGAGTTCGTGACCCCTCGAAGGAAGCCCTATGCTGCTGGTCTGATTGAGACCGATCGAGGAGAGCTCACAGCTGACCATGAAGAGCACGATGAGGCCATGCATGAAGTGGAACAGTTTTTGGCTGAGCATCAACTCGCAGAAGAAGGAGAAGAACCTGAAGACGATGAGCATTATGACGAATCGGAGGTCGCGGAGGCTCTTGCCGTGACCTGGCGTGACAAGAGGAAAGAGTTGAACCGTCTTCAGAAAGAACGGAAGTTCAAACAGGCTGGTGAGGTCAGGAGAAGCTTCCAAATCGAGGTCTCCGAGCTGAAGAAGAAGACACGGTGCCACCGATGTCAACAGATCGGACATTGGGCACGAGATTGCCACTTACCACCACCTCCCAAAGGAAAAGGGAAAGGCAAGTCCAAAACATCCTTGCCGCCTACGGGAGCTGCTGTGGTCGAACACGTGCCCGAGTATTTCATCGCAACTGTCATGCCTCTTTGGCCCACATTGACCCGCCTGCGAGACCAAAAGAACCGGGATCGTGGACTCCCGATTGACAGTTCCACCAAGCACAAGGACACCGACGACAGTACATTGTTGGTTCACGGTGACATTGAGCAAGTTGACAACAGTACATTGGTGTCAAAGCATGTTGACATTGAGCAAGTTGCTGTTGAACAAGTTGACATTGAGCAATCACAAGAAGCGTTGTTGGTCAGTTCCCCGGGTTTTGGGGTATTGGATTCGGGCTGTGGTCGCTCGATCATTGGAGAACGAACTCTCCAGTCCTTCGAGCAACTGTGGAAGGACCGAAACCAGACGATCCCCAACCGCATTGCCGAGAAGAACCTCTTCAAATATGGCAACGGAGAGCAAGAAGTGTCACAGCAAGCTGTTCAAGTGCCTGTTGTCCTGGGAGGACGAATGGGTTCCATCAGGGCTGCTATTGTGAAAGGAGACGCACCGCTCCTGATCTCCAGAGCGGCCCTCCAGAAGCTGAATGCTGTGATCAACTTCTCGGATAGCACCATGACGCTGTTCACCGATCAACGAAAGATCCCCCTGCAGACCAATGAAGCTGGTCAGTTTGTGGTGCGCCTGATCGATGATAGTGCACCCATCACTGATCCACCGGAAGAGTTCCAGGAAGTCATGCTGGCTGATGAACAGACAGTTCAATCCACCGAGTCCGCCAAGGCCTCCATGTCCATGCCTGAGCCTGCCGATGAGCTTCCACTGGACACTCGACAAGTGGATGAGATGAAAGCACCAGTCCGAGACTCGTCAAAATATCAAACCTGGTCCAGGGAAGATTCCTTTTTGACTCATGTGCCCAAACTCGGTAAACAAGGACCCAACTGGGACACGGTAGTACACAGACGTGTTTTCGACAGAGGATCAAACCGGGTGCTGTTCGATGAGCCCATCAATCCACAGAAAGGGAAGCAAGCTTATGCCAGAGAAATCCCAAAAGAAGTTCTGCATATTCGCACCGAATACATGTTTCGTCCTCAGGAAGTGAACATGCCTCTGGAATCCCTGAGCGTGCACCAAGTGAGACAAGTGAGCTCACAAATTCGAAACTCGACACGGCAACCCAGCAGTAAGATTCAGGGTAAGCGATTCATGGTGGCAGAAGTTTTCAATCCTCCTCGGTTTGCACCCTTTGTCCAAGAAGTAGGAGGGTTTTGTCGTTCATATGACATCAAAACTGGATTCGATTTTGAGAAAGCCTCTACTCGAACCTATGTAGAAGACTTCTTGCAAGCCAATCCACCTGATTTGTTGGTTGCCTCTCCCCCATGCACCGATGAGGGAGGTTGGTTCCACTTGAACTCGAGCAAGTGGTCAACGGCTGAGCGACTTCGTCGGATCCGCAGAAGCAGAATCTTCGTGAAGTTTTGCTGTAAGTTGATCAGGAATCAACTCAGCCATGGTGGTCGTGTAATGCTGGAACACCCCTTAGGGTCCAAGATTTGGCAATATCCCGAAGTCAGAGAACTCCTCGATACATGTCAAGTGATCAAATGCCATATGTGCCGATATGGTCTTCGGGTTCCAGGGGATAAGAGATTGATTCGCAAAGCCACCCAACTGCTCATTGCCGGTGATGGTATGCTTGATCTAGCTAAGGAGTGCCCTGGGGAAAAACATGCACATCATCAGTGTCATCTTCCGGTAGCTGGCACCCATCCGTCGGTAGGTCAGGTCAGCACTTTTGCCGGTCAATATACTCCAGCCTTTGTTCAGGCGGTTCTGCGAACACTGCCCAGCTACCGACAAGCCTCCGAGAGTTTGCAAGTGCCATGTGATGCCATCCCGTCACAGGCCATCCAAGAAGTGATGATGGTCAAGGCCGATCTAAATCAGGGCACAGAAGCTGATATTAAGAAAGTGATCGATCGAGTCCATCGCAATCTTGGCCATCCGCCAACCGAGGATCTCGTGAGAGTGTTGAAGCATGCCCATGCCTCTGAACAAGCGATCAGTTTAGCGAGACAACATTCATGTGATTTGTGTAAGGCCCAGCAAAGACCTCATGTCCCGCTACCTTCTAAAGCTAGTCGACCTTCAGGTTTCAATCAAGTGATAGGCATCGATGTCAAGTATCTACAAGGTTGGCGTCCCAATCAGAAGGTGAAAGCACTCAACATCGTTTGTCATGGCAGTTGTTATCAACTGATGATTCCCTTCTTTGAACGAGAGACTTCAGAACTGATCCAACGGTTGCTGGCCATGCACTGGATTCGTGTGTTCGGACCACCTCAGGAAGTGGTCATGGATTCGGCCCAGACGAACTTAGGCGAGCCCTTGCAAAGATACCTGGAACATCTAGGTGTTTATGTTCGGCCTCTTCCGGGAGAGGCTCATTGGCAATTAGGACGCACAGAAACACATGGGGGCTGGTTTTCACGAGTGTTGGAAAAGACGATGCAGTCCAGAGTGCCCTCAACTCGAGCAGAATGGGAACAATGTGTGTTGCAGAGTCACGTCAAGAACTCAATGATCCAATTCTATGGATACACGCCTCACCAATATGTGTTCGGCAAGAATCCCAATATCCCTCAGGATTTGTTGGATGAACCCATAGGAGTTGTTCCTGCCACAGCCAGTCTCTCGGATGATGCCGTAGCTACAGCACAGGCGATTCGTTTCGCTGCCAGAAAGGCCGTCTTAGAGACACAAGACGATCAGGCCCTTCGTCGCGCTCTGGCGGCACGGCCGCGTAAGCACATCCAATTCGAACCAGGAGCATTGGTGGCCTACTGGAGAGCACAGAAATATACTCCTGAAGGTGTAATCCAAGGGGGCCGATGGTGGGGCACAGCTGTGGTGTTAGGATCCGTAGGAAAGAACTATCTAGTGGTCCATAGGAAACAGATTTTTCGTGTGGGTCCTGAACAGTTGAGACCAGCTACAAATGAAGAACAAGCACTAGTCAAGACACCACAGGCTGAGCTGCTAGGTATCCGTGACTTGATCGAAGGAGGTACGTTCCGTAGTAGTCAATACATAGATCTCGTCCCCGGAAGTTACCCAGCACAGTCCGATGCAGAGCAAGTGACTGAAGTGCCTGAGAGCGATCAAGTCCAAGACTCTCCAATGCCGGCAGTGAAGTCCGCTGAACAGACCAAGGGTCATGATGAGGCATCGGAAGATCCCACCCTCATTGACAAGTCTCCCATGACCCCAGAACATGCAAAAGTCCATGAAGACCCCACTGATGTCATCATGCAACACCCCTCATCTGCCAGTGGATCTTCGTCGAGCTCAGGTTTCAAGGCTAACCAGGAGTCTCAGGCCGGATCGACCTCGTATCATTATGGACCTATCAGACACCGAGTAGAAGGAAAATCACATGGAGCTGCGTTGTATCGACCATCTGCCATGAAGCACGAAGATTTCGTAGACATGATGCGAGAGGTGGTGCCTCGACTCTTGGATGCCGCACCAACCTGAGAGCATAAGCGCAGTCCATCCGAAGCCGAGCTGTCCACGGAGTCACAACCACCAGCTCAAAGGGCTAGACCAGAACCCAGCTCCGAAGTGTTGTCAGTCCAAGATGTAGGAGAACTGATGATCAGCTGGGATGATCCCACCGTGGAAATAGAAATCATGATTGCACAGTACATGGAAAAGAAGTTGTCCAAAGAGGTCCATCATAGTGGTCATCCACCTGATGTTCAAAAAGAAGTAGATGCATCCAAAACTGTAGAATGGCAAACCCTGTTGGAGAAAGGGGTAGTCCGAATCTACTACGGTAAGAAGGCTCAAAAGATCAAAGAAGAACAAGCCGACCGATTCATGGGATCCCGATTTGTCATCATTCGGAAACCCAGTGAAGAGAATCAGCATATTGACTTGTCCAAACCTTCCACGTACAAGATCAAGAGCCGTTGGTGTTTGCAAGGACATCTCGATCCGGACTTAGATCAGAAAGCACAAGAAGGCCTCCTGCAGTCTCCGACACTGAGCCAAATGGGTCGTATGTTGTTGATGCAATTGATAGCTTCACACCAGTGGACGCTCCAACTCGGAGATATCAAGGGTGCCTTTCTCGAAGCAGGTCCACTGAACCCCAAATACAGACCCCTATACGCCAAACAACCCCCTGGTGGCATCCCAGGTGTGCCGTCGGAGGCGGTCATCGAGGTGTTAGGTAACGTCTATGGTCAAAATGATGCACCATCAGCTTGGTACAAGACTTTCCATGAAGAGGCCCTTCGAATCGGTTGGGTTCGCTCCAAGTTCGATCCATGCCTGTACTATTTGAGAGATGTTGATAACCGTAAGCTGATTGGAGTCATGGGGGTTCATGTTGATGACACCTGTTTAGGAGGTACTGGTGAGGTGTTCGAGTCAGCAGTCAAGCAATTGCGTGCTCGATTTCCGTATCGGAAATGGAGAATCTCTGAGGGCGAATTTTGTGGTAGCTACTACACACAAAACAAACAAGGGGAAATTAGCATGTCTCAGAAGCTATTCGCAGAGAAATTACGTCCTGCACAGATTCCCAAAGGAGCTGCGTGTGAGGATCCCTTGAGCGAATCACAGATTCGAGTTCTCAGAGCAATCAATGGTAGCCTCAATTGGCTAGCATCTCAGTCACGCCCAGACTTGGCGGTGCAGACCAGCTTGTCGCAACAAGCATTTCCACGGCCGACCATCCGACACCTCAGAGATGTGAATAATGCAGTGCGTCGAGCCAAACTCAATCGTGACCTTCAAATCCGCTTCAAAACTATTAGTCCTGATAGGTTGACAATATGCTGTCATTCTGATGCAGCCTTCGCGAATGTAGGCACCCATACTCAAGCTGGTTACATCCTTGCTTTCGTAGATCAAGACATGAATAAAGGTAAGCTTGGCCCATGGACCCCAGCTGTATGGCGTAGCTATCGTATGAGTAGAGCGGTAAGTTCAACATTAGCTGGAGAAAGTCAAGCAATGGCCACCGCCAGTGGGACAGTAGAATGGCTGAGCCTACTTTTGTGTGAGGCCTTAGATGGACATTTCGATCCACGCCAAGGCCGTGACCTGTTGGCCAAGCGACCTCCTCTGTATGCAACGGATTGCAAATCTCTGTTCGACCACCTGATATCACCATCGTCACCTACAGCGGTGGAAGACCGCCGAACGAGTATCGACATCGTGATCATTCGAGAGTCTCTGTTGTTGACAAATGGAGTGATTCGTTGGCTTCCAACAGATCGAATGCTTGCTGACGGTCTGACAAAGGACCGAGCGGATCCAGTTGATCTTCTAAGATCATGCGTGAGAGCTGGATCCTATCAGATTTCTCCAGAAGCTCATGTCCTCGAGCAACAAGCCGCGGAGAGAGAACTTCGCCGCCAAAAGCGACAGCCCGAAGCTAAGGTCCCTGATAAATTAGTGACTAGCATCCAAACTCCTGAAGAATAGACTTGGCAAGACGACCTTCGGTTCCTTGGGTCTACACACGTTTTGAAAACGAATGTCAGGGAATCATTGTTTTCGTGTGTGCAGGTTTTGAGTGTCGTGCGCTTAAGAGAGTCATAGTCAGTCACTGTGTTTGCATGGTTTTTGTACGCAAGTCATCTGCCGAAGCAGTTTTTGACCTAGTCAAGGTCTTGTGAAACAATAAGATCTTGTTGGTGATCCGTGCTCCGGAGCCCCTTTTTGTGTGATGGCATGGAATGCCAAAGATCAGAAGCAGCTGGAGGAGCTGCTACGCAAAGCCCACAGCCAGGGTCTCTCCCTGTCTCAGCTAGGACTCCCTCAGATTGGTGCCACATCCTCCGAGTTCGACAGTGAATTCTCCTTTGTTGAGCCTACTGGAGGAACGATGGCCGACAGCTGCAAACGCCGAGATGAAGGCACCGATGAAAATCCGTTCACCAAAAAGAGTGCCTTGAGTCTAGATGCACTGGACTCAGTTGAAGGAGGTGGATACACCTTCAAGTCGCTGGAAAAAGAGTTCGGGTCATCTCCTCTGACCCATCGGGAGGTGGTCAACACCATGGATAGCACAGAGCTCCCATCGCTCCCAGCGGGAGTTCCGGACGTAGCCACCTGGGGAAAGACACTGATTAAGTTCGGTCAGTTTGGCAAGCAGAACATGACCTACTATGAGCTCGCTTCCAGTTCAGAAAGCCGCTGTCAAGGTTACACCAAATGGTGTAAGGATCATGGAAAAGGTGCCAAGGGACACCTCCGCGACCTCGTGGACTATTTGAGCCATTATGATGCTGCTCACGGAGTGTCTCAAGCCCCGATCATTCCAGGCACCTCCATGAAGAGAGAGTTCAAGGCATGAGATGACGGTTGATTGAGACGGCTGTAGAAACACTGGAAGAGAAAGAAAAGATTGGAAAGATTATAACCAGTGTTGACTTTGCACAGGAGCTCCATTCGTGTCTCGCAGGGACCATCGTTGCCTCAAGCGGTGAAAAGGATGCGCCCGGTTGTCTTGGATAGGATTCCTTGCTACCTCTGTTGAATCAACACATATATAACACACTTCGAATGAACGAAGAGACACTCCGACTACTCGCATGGAAGTGGAAAAACACCACCTGTTTGCTCTTCGGAACATGGTCATCATCCGAAATGGATGAGCCAGGATGAGCCATGAGCCGGGAGTGTCAATGGTGTGACACGTTTGCGGTGAAATCCGCTCGAAGCCCGAAGCACTCGGGAAACGGGACGCCTGGGCTCCGCGACGTGATGCACAGGAGGCTCAAGCTGAACTTTGCCTTGCTCTCGGCGATGGCGGCGGAACGGCTTTCGCATGGGGACAACCAGCTCATCGAGGAGCTGAGGGCGAGAGCAGAGCTTGACGGATTGACATGCACCACAGACGGAGGCACACGTTGTACCATGTTGTGCCTATACCCACCTATCCACCTATACGTACCTACCTACCTACCTACCTACCTGCCTTTACCCAATTGCATTCATCCATAGAGCCATACAGTATACATGTATCCATAGATGGACAAACACATCCATACACACAATCATATATAGAACTAACTCACTGGGAACTGGGAACCATTTAGAACCTGTTTGATGGTTGCCGTGGACTACCACCACAACATGGTCCTTTCCTACCCAAGGGTCAAAGAAAGCGAGGCCCAAGAAGGCCCAAGAGATGATCCATGGAATCCAGACTTAGACCAAAACAAAGCACAAGATAATAATGATGCATGACTCGCATGACAGTTGTATATGTTATGTGTTTCTTTTAGTTTTAGGTTAAGTCCACTAGTCTGCGTTTTTGCAGACTTTGCAGCCTGCTGTGTGTGTGTTTTCCGAACATTGCACGCCATTTTTCATGCAGCTCCCTGCACAAAGGCCGACCCACGCAAAGACCTCAATGTTTTTTTCTCACAAATACCCAGTGTGTGGCTGTGGATTTGACCCTTTTCGGGGGGAGAACGTGTTGGGTCCAGTCCGTCTTTTTTGCCTCCAACAGGTGGAACGTGTTGGTTACATCACCGAGGGCTTCACCGAAGTCTTCAGAAACGCAACGGTTCCGGGGATCCGATCTCAGTCCAAGAAGTTGGGACTGGGGGCCCGGGGCCCAATACGTCGGGTCGGTGTAGGGCAAGGCCTTCCCCATTCGTCAAGCCGGAGTCGCACGAGCCGAAGCCCGAGGACATGTCGAGAAAGGTTCGCAGCCGGCACGCCATGCGGGTGGAGAAGGAGGCGGAGGCGAGGTTTTGGGCTGCGAACTTGGCAGATTTGGTTGGACAAATGACAGTTTCAGTTGCCTCATTGATGCCCGATATGCATGTAATGTATAGCTACACCAGTTCCCATGGATGGTTTGGGGCAGTGAGTGGTGCCAACGCTGGTGGTTCACATTATTTGGCGGTTCATCCACGGCGCCAACATGGTCGACATGGCCGGCTTTAAGCCCTATGTCCTTATGCAAGTTGGAGGACCCCAATCCGCTATAGTACCCCTGTGCAGACTAACATGGACCCTGAACATTTCCCTGTGGAGACTGTGGAGGACCATTTTCCTTTACAAGCCAGTGGTTTTGAGAGTCCATGTTGACCCGCTGCTCTGATTTGTTTTGATGACTGACAATAAACATATTTTGTGGTGGTTGGCGGCATGTGGTCCAAAATTGAGGTCACTCTGTTTCTAGGTAGGGCTTCAACGGCCTCACAAGAAGAGCTTCAACGACCCCACGAGAAGATAGTTGAGGTGGGTTTGGTACACCTCCATCAGGACCCTTTACAAAAACCACACTGAGTTTGGCTGCAACAATTTTCGACCAGATCTATACTTCCAACACCCCTCCAACTACTTGGATCTTTGCTCTTTCGGGTCATGTCCCACATTCAAGGGCATGTCAGTGGCCCGTCCTCGTGCAGGTTCACAAGGTACCTGGGCCCTCCAAAGCCACCCCCAGCCTCGTTGATTCCTAGCACATCCGAATCCAGTTCAGATTCGACCCAAGCCTCTGTGCACATGAGTTTCCCAAGCCTCTTTGTGCACGTTCGTCAATCGGATCTTCAATTTCTGTCAGACCCACTGGGTGAAAGACCCTTGCTTGTCCACATCAGTTCCATAGCCTCAAAAATGCCGTTGAGGTTGCACGAGGCTGCGTAAAAGACTTACAAGCTGGTTCTCGTAGGCCAAATCCTTGTGCCTCAGAGCCCCCCAAAAGTGAGCTGGAAATATCCATGGCCAGATTTCCAATTGTCTAGCATTAGTATATATATATATATTTAGCATTTTTTTGGATGTTTTTTTGCCACTTCAAGTGAACAGGTGGTTCAACTTGATGTTCCAGGGAAACGGCTTGGAAGCCAGTGGATACCACTCTAGACCCGAAAAAAGGGATGCTTCAAAGCAGCCTCCACACCACTTCTCCTTGGGAAGGTCGAGGTCCGAATCCTCAAGACGGGCCTGCCGCCGCAGGGATATCAGCCGCCGGCCTTTGTAGAACGGAAGGACTTCGACCGGGGCTTGAAGAAGGTCATGAGCCAGGAACTTAGACGACTGGATGAGGCGGAGGGAGACTTAGACTTCCACCTGAGGGATGGAGCATGATGCACATTTGGGGGGAACATCAACAGTTTCTCGTGCTCCAAGTCTTCTGGGCACCGCGCATTCTTCATCCACTATATTATGTAGAATGTAGCACTCTTACAGGGTTGAAGGTTGCCATGCTCACCCTGAGAACTCATGGACGTCGCCGGTACCCAAACACTCGCAGCCCGGCCACTTCGCCGCTGGCGAAAGACCCGAAAAAAAGCCGGCGCCGGCTTCTGAGGTTTCGTCCTCTTCCGCAAGCCGTCACCGCAGCAGATGGATCTGCTGGCCAGGTCCAATGACCCGGTGTCCTCGGTGATGCCCCACGGCGCGAAGAAACCGGACCTCGCCGGTGGTGTCCTTCGAAGCGCCGGGACGGTGGCGGTGGACGGTGCGTGCGATTTCGTGCGGTTTGTTCGGGACTCAAGGCGGGGATGGGATGCGGATTGCCTTTTTCCCTTGGAAGAAAGAGAGGGAGTGAGACTGGGGGAAGATCGAAGGGCTTCAGGATGCTTCAGGGATATTCGGATGAGGACAGTTCCAGTGCCTAGTTCAAAGTCCGGTGACTACTCGTAGCAAAGTGTCCTAGAGTTCCAGTGCCTGGGAGGCGCTTAAAGTGGCACACTTTCTTCACATATTTTCTGTCGACGTAACTTCTTCAGATTTGGATCCTCCAGGACCAAGGGTCCCCGCGACCCGCGAAAAAACCGTTTCTTCAAGGCGGCAGAAATCGGCCGAGATGAGATGGGGTAATTGGATCACTTGGGGACTTGGAATATATATATATACACACTGGGGTGCCAAAAGTTGCGTTTCTTGACTTCTAAAACATCACACACCCTTTCCCCTTAGAATCCTACGTGCAACATGTCGACACCTAAGTTGCGGTCAGATTTCCACACCTGAAAGCCTTATAAGTATATTATAAATTTAAACGGGTGTGGAAATCTGACCGTGCTGTACTTGCCACGCAAAATGGACGTGTTAATCCGATCCGCTGTAGGACCGCAAGTGTCATGTTGGAGCAGAGTAAGAAGCGTAAACTTTAGGGTTCTTGAAGTATATATATTATTATCTATCATATATCTATTTATAACAATATCTGATCACCTGCTGAGGATTCCGATTTCCACATATCCTGCCGATTTTCAGAGTCAATTGATCATGATCCCAAGGTATTGGATCACTTGGGACTTAGCCAGCGTCATGAAGGAACTGGACACCGCCCCTCCGATCCAGACTCGAATGTATCAGGACCGGAGGACAAAAGCTGCACCGATAGAGGTTTGGAAGTGTTTTGCTTCAGAGATGATCATTTGCCATCATTTGCCCATGTTTGCCCTATGGATCCACTGCCACATACTGCCACCCTCTGAGAGAGTGAGTGGTTTTTTCTTTCTTCGACACCTTGATGTTGGCGAGTTGTGAGGGTCCAAGTCTTAAGGATCCTTACATCAATGGCAAGTCGGGCCTTGGCTCGGCACTGACTTTGGATGCCCGATGCCCTCTGCGCAGGAGTTGTCCAATGGCATGTTGGGCTTCAACAACTGCCTCAAGATTGCAGACGTGCCATTTCCGCTGCCCTTTGCTCAGCTGTTGCTGATGTCTTTGGTGGCCTTTTCGTTGCTCATCCCACTGCAGCTTGGAACGGCTCCAAAGGAGACCTTGGGATAGGTGGTCATGCAGTGCAGTACCAGGTTGAATAGTCCACCTTCCATCATTCTGCACAGTGACAAGCAGGCTGTCTACCTGTTATAGGAGAGTGGTTCCGCTGAGGGTTCTATCACCCATAGCTTTGTGCCGCTGAAGGTGTAGGGCCTTGTGTTGTGCAAAGTTTCTGGCCGGAGGAGTTCCGATTCAGAAGAGGATTCGGTCAGAGGATTGGGGGAGATTGGTTTAGAGTTTAGATTGCAATTATGGGATAATGGTATGCAATACGGCCTTAGGCTTGCCTTAGCCAAATGCCTCAACTCTTGCAGAGGGTGATGGGGAGAGAGAGAGAGAGAGATATATATATATATACAGAGAGAGAGAGAGAAAGAAAGATACATGGTCCATAATAGTTATATAGCAAATGTTGTTTCCTCACCAGCCCAGATGAAGAATTTGCGAAGAAACCAGTCGATTCTTGACTGCCCAGGTACGTAATCGTCTTCACCAAGTCGTTGGTGGTGGGCCCTGTTCTGTGCTTCTTTTTGTTTGAAAGCCTTTGGTGCATGAACGAAGTGGCCAAAGAGCTTGAGAACCCCTTCGGCCAGGAGAGACAAGAGAAGCCGCAGTCAGCTCAACCGATTGTTACACTCCAACATACTTTCTACACGTGCACAAACCGGTGGCTGTCCACCATGATAGGAAGCCAGAGCTTCTTATTTTTTATTAGATTCTTGCGTTTGGGTTTGGGTTGTCCAGCCATGAGCTTCGTCCAAATCAAATGCATGGGAGTGTATCGGAATAGGGAGGCCCCAACCAACCAGCCAGGCTTTTAACCTCATTTTTGTGTGTTTTTCCTAGGTTGTGCGGATCGGGTTGTTTAATGTTTTTCCATGTTTTTCCCATTTTTTTTTTAAGGGTTTGTCCTATTATTTACAACAGTCAGTAAACAATTATCATTTTTTTTGAACAAGGCCTTTACCATCATCATCCACTGTTACAGGTAATAGGATAGACCCAACTCATATTCTTACTGGGGAATCCGCTTCTGGTATTCTATTGTTTTCCAGATCCTCAAGCGTATATTCTGAGCAGATCCCGTAACTTTTGTCACAGTCGTGTTTCCTAGTTCATCTTCAGCTCCCCTTTGACTTGGGTCTTCGGTTTTGCTTGGCAGGTCTTTGACCGGGCCTTTCCGCCCCACCATGCAGGACATGAACGATATCTCCCTTCCAGATTTCCACCTTCGCTTCGTGGACACTCTGGAGTCCGTGAGTCACATGGAGCAGCATGAGATGCTCCAGATGGATGACATCGACGACACCGGTGATAGCCTCTTGCGGTGGCGAGGTTGAAGCTGAGTCCTTGGTGTTGCTGTGTGTTTTGTGCGTGTCTTGTTCCCACATTGGGACGGGAATCATCTCAAGCACCTCAGTCATCCAAAGTGGCACCCCTGCAGGTTCATTTGCTTGGTTTATTTCAGGCCCCCCCAGTTGCCATGTGCAGAGCATCTCCATAGGGTGATGCCAACCAGATATGCATCAATTGGAGGCATTTGAAGGCGCGATGCCTGAAATGTTGAAAAGAACCATTCAAAACCAAGTAGGAATTGCGAGAAATTGAACATACTGTAGATCAATAGTGGTAAGGCGACATGCCTGATGAAAAGTAGCGAACACGTGAAACATCAGTGAGCAAATAAGGAACAATAGTTAGTTCACCAGTAAATTACTGTAAATTGGTAAAGAATGGGCACTGCTGTTCAATATTTGTGAACACATGGAAAATAAAACATAGCGAAACATGCAAGTCAAATGCACCTAATTATAAGAGAAATCAATTCCTTTTTGTGTCCATTTGTTTGCTGGTTAATATAATTTCTAATTATTTGTATGTGTGTTTCATAATTATAAACTGTTACTCAATGCTTATTTATTCTAAAGTTGTCTAATAGATTATTCTGAATGGTCAGGACAGACAATGTTGTGGTGCATGTTTTGCTGCGCCTCAGGTCCATTTACTATTGTAGTTATGAAGTATATATTCCCAGAGACATCCAGTGACTCATTCTACCCCACCTGGTAGTTATGATCCACCGCTGCTAAGAGTGTAAAAGGAGCCTCTTGGCTGGATTTCTAGGCATTTGACATCCGACAACCTGTGAGCATAAGATCAAGGACAGTGCAAGTATGTATATACAACTGCACGTGTCACATAGTGTTCAGTCGTTTTTGTTCCTTTAAAGACCGTTATAGTATATACCACTGTTTCAGGATCGCTTCATCTTTGCATTCCTCGGCCATACCGGGGAAAGAGAAGAACCAAAGCAATGAGAAAAACCGCTTGCCTAAGTACGCCGCTTCGGGCCCTTGAAACTAGATCCGCCAAAGTACGCCAGACAATGGGAGCCTCATCCTATTTCAAAGGTGCTTGTACCTACGTCTCGGAGTACTCTGAGGGTCCATGTAACCCTGACATTTGCAGATCGATGTTTTCTAACAGAATCTAACATGCCATTTTCTGTGGCCTCCCCTCCCCCAGTACGGATGCTCACTGTTCCGTCCTACCCCATCAGTGGATCCGCATGTCACCATGAACTACATGGAAAGTTCGCTTCCCCTTTCATGTCGGAAAAAGGGCTCGGGGGTCAGCTGTTGTTGTGGGAAAACACCAAGCAGTGTTCAGCGCAACCCGATGAGCAGAGTGCCGATATGGGCCAGATGGTGGAAGCACGTCGGTGCTTTTGGTTTCACCAACGTTTTTTGGGTTAGAGTCGGAGTCAGTCCCAGTGCAACACCTATGTCAGGCCTGAAGACACAAATGTCAGGCATGTCGGAAAAAAGCAGCTTGCGAGACACCATGCACCTATCCCATACACTCCATGTAATTATGGAATATATGCCTACATTGACCCCCCAAACCACCCCAATGTTGGCATATACGGCAGTCCCATGGAGCGTTTGGTATAACTTGAATGTCCACCAGCCGTCCATGTTTGATTTCATGTGGCTAGGTAGTAGTTGGCCAGCTCAGGTGGCACGGCACTGGTTGAAAACGGATCACTGATCTTCGGTTTTTGAAGCTCAGCTCAGGTGGCACGGCTCTGAACCTCAAAAGGTCGGAACAGAAGGATGCGAAAACGGGACTGCTCCCAGCCACAACTGCGAAGCACATGTGGCGGCGCGAAAAATGTCAGGCTTTCCGCACGGCCATGAAGCGGAGACGAGCGGGGAGAAAGTGGCACAAGACACGAGCGATGCGCGGTGCGCGGGTCAGAGCTATGTTGGTTGGTCTCGTGCCATACCCAGTCAGTGGATGACCTTTAGGTAGAAGAAGGTTAAGCTTTATTTTCCAGGCATACTGAAGGA